CATGCAGCAGAATTAAGCAGAAGCAGCCAGACAGCACAGAAGCTTGTTTAGCAGATATTTATTGGACCTGGGCCGGGTCCCAAACACAACATCAGGCCCCTGGACGCACATAAATACCAGAAATAGAGACTAAGCCTTAATGGATTTACTTAACCTCGAAAAAAAAGATTATATAAGCTTTGTTTGGTTGTTATGCAGCACACACTTTCTCCTCTTCGTGGTGGGAGAAGGCACTGAGTGCACAGTGTGGTAAAGATGCCGTCTATTACTTTTCCTATTAAAAAAAAAAAGAAAAAAGTGTAGCGTGAAGGATTCGTGGTCGAAGCCCACAGAGTGTTTCAGGAGGGCCAGTGTTTAAAAAGGAAAAAAAAAAGGACAGATTGAAATTATAGCAGAGACACATCGCTTTGAAATTATAATTATATAATGGCGAATGTCAGGCGGAATAATGAGAGGTATGAGTGTGTGTGTGTGTGAGGAAGAGATATAATATCTGAACTTGTGGTTGTAAGTAAGTGAGCGTGCTCCCCAGCATGTGTGTTTGGTTTCCTGTGGTCTGGAAAAGCACCACAGAGTATGCAGAGAATATGAAACTGGGCTGGAGGTAACGAGCTCTGGACGTTCTGGGCTGGGAGCCATTCACTTCTTTGGCATTCAGCCTCTAATATGCAGACATGGGGGATATGTACTCGTACAATGGTACAATGGTTTTATTTATCATATCCACGACACCAAAAAAAATCCACATTTCTTTTATCCCTTTACTAAACTAAACTAAGTACTTATAGAGTGCCTATAATCTGCAATTTACATAAACACAGCTACACTGGCTCACTCATCAGCTGCATGTCCAGCAACGAGTAGGAGACGGGTGAAATTAAAACTGAAAAAACAAAAACATGGAGCTAAAAGTAGGTTGAATATTCCAAAGTGGGAATGTGCCAGTATTGTGTTTGCACGTTGTTTCCATCACAGGTTTCCATGCCTCACAAATCATTTAGTGAGAAAGAATAAATGAGCAAATGAAAATAAGGGGAATGTGAAAGAAAGGAACGTTTTAAGGAAAAAAAGTCCCAACTTTATCTTCTGTCAGTGACCCCTACAGGCCTCTGCTACAGTGGAAAGAATCCAATCAGAAAAACTTGTGCATTGTGTAAAAACAGAACAACAGCATTCCTCACCCTGTGCCAGAAACGAGTCTCTACTCCAGCCAGAGGAGAAGTTTAACCTTTTCAATGTTTCGACTTTAAACCTCTCCAGGAACAGGGAAGTTGACGTGACCTGACATCAAGATGGCAACAAAGGTTGGATGGTGCAGACAGCACTTTGATATGAGTTTTTGCACTCATTTGCACTCATTGGCTGTTGGCCCAAAGGCAATACAGAAGCATAAAATGAAAAAAAAAAAACAAAAAAAAAAACAAGTGCTGGCTGTATGTGTGTTTGTGCGTTGGTGCAAGCAAAAGCCAAAAAAAAAAAAGAGAGGGAGGAAGAAAGAGTGTGTGTGTGTGCTGGCATTACAGAGGAACATATGCAAAAATCAGCTGGCTGATAGCGAGCTCCCTCTGCACACCGTCCATCCTGACGGGGCTGAATGGTTTGCACTGGGAGACGCAGCACTGTTACTGCTGGTGCTCCTGGGAAGGTTTATAATTGTACTGAATGCTGAGCATTTACGCTTCTATACACGCTTCTGACATGCATGGTGTTAATGTTTGTACTGGTGTATCATGATTACAGCATATAGTCAGGAGGAGGTGTATGTGTGTTCCTGAGTAAATGTGGCTTTATTTAAATTCTTTGCACAACTATGCATGTTTCTGCATATGCTTTAGACTCAATCTAAATGATACTGCAGTGCAAACATGTGAGCTGCTAAAAGCAACTATGAATGGAATAGGTATAAACGTATATGCAGGACAAGGATAGAAGTGACAATATTTGATAAAAAGAGATCACAGGTAAGACTAAGATCAGGGAGACTGATCCCCATCATTACGTGACATCAAGGGATCATAACTACATTAGCCCTTTTTCTTTGAAGGCATGTATTTCTCGTTCATTTCCATCCATCTCGCCTGCCCCAGGGTGCCGGCATGGCTAACAAAGGTCCATCCTACGGCCTGAGTCGGCAGGTCCAGGACAAGATCGACAGCAAGTATGACCCAGAGCTGGAGCAGATTCTGGTGGAGTGGATCAGCCGTCAGTGTGGCGCTGGTGTGGGGAAGCCAGAGCCTGGCAAACAGGGCTTCCAGGCTTGGCTCAAGGACGGATGTGTGAGTGCACAAGCTGCCCGGATGTTTTCTACTAGAAATTGCTTTAAGATAAAAATCTTTTATTTGTGCTTCTCCTTCCTTTCTTCTTCCCTTTAACTGCCCTCCCCTTTGCCTTTCCCTACCCTCCTTTTTGGTTTCGTTTTTTCTCTCCAGGTCTTGAGCGAGCTCATTAACAGTCTGTTTGCCGGCGAGAAGCCTGTGAAGAAGATTCAGAGCTCGCCCATGGCCTTCAAGCAGATGGAACAGATCTCCCAGTTTCTCAACGCTGCCGAGAAATACGGCGTCACGAAGACCGACATGTTCCAGACCGTGGACCTTTGGGAAGGTCAGACAGGTTTCATGCTCTCAGGATTGTTTAATGGTGGAGGGTTTAGGCACTTGGATTGTATGGTGCAACCATAGATGTTTTTTTGTTAATGAATGTAGCCACCACGTGTTATTTTCAGAGTGTTGCCATTAGAGGAGGTGGTCATTAGAGGAACGGCAGGTTTTGGTTGTTTCCACATATTGGTTTTAGTTTTCAGAGATTGATATTTGATATTTTGACTGATGCTGTTGTTAATATGGTGTGTTGGGACAGGTAAGGACTTGGCAGCGGTGCAGAGGACCCTGTCAGCTTTGGGAAGCTTGGCCGTTACCAAGGATGAAGGCACATACAAGGGAGACCCCAACTGGTTCTTCAAGTGAGTCCTCTAAAATTAAACAGACCCCTGTTAACACAATGACTCCGACACCTTTTTGTGACACTTTTCAATGTTGCATTGCAGGAAGGCACAGGAGAACAAGCGAGACTTCAGCGATGAGCAGATGAAGGCTGGCAAAAATGTGATTGGCTTACAGATGGGCTCCAATAAGGGAGCCAGTCAGGAGGGCATGAGCTACGGAAGACCTCGACAGATCCTGTAAAGTCACTGAGCCGCCAGTGGAAAGGGCGCTCACTGCAGAGCCGCTGGCTTGGTCCAACTCCATCTCCAGCCATGCCACCATCCTAAGTCCAACTTCAGAGAGATGGAGCTAAAGCTGTTGTCTGCAGCGAGCAGCACTTGCATCAGTACCCCAAACCTCTTTAGCCCCTCTTCTAACCAAAACCTCTGGTGCTTTTTACGATCTCTTACACCCTTCGGTCCTCCCTAAACTTAATAACTGTCACAGAGCCCTTATTTACATGCTCGCACTGGTGATCAATGCAGGGTTCAACTATGCTTTGTCTTCGGACCAGTAACAACTGAATGTTTGTAGTCTTAAGCTGCAATTGTAGCCATGAAAAATGACCAAAAAGTGTCTTGTCAAACCAAACAAAAACCTTTCACATACCAAAAGTTGATCCGGTCTTTCCTTCGATAAGGAACTCGTGTTGCATCTGCCTCCCTGAATTTTGATGGGTTCTGACAGAAATACGAATTCGTTTACATGCCGTAAAGCGTTCTTCTCAAATTTACAAGCACAACCATTTTGCACCAATGCTCCTCATTTTTACTGCTACCGTGTCAAGTACACGTCCCACATCACTGCGCCTGCTGTATCAGCGCTCATATTTTTGTACATTGTCTTATTAAATAATGACTTTGAAATACATCTCTGAATTGACTTTGTTTCCAGCTCTTTAAGGGTTCCCTTGTTGGAAAATGGGGTGGGATCTCTCCTACTAATATTTCAAACAACCCATGCACCAACATGCATGCATACATGTTTACATGACCCAGATTAAGAATACATGGCAACGGGGAACACTTATCACATTTTTATCTGTAGGCGTGTAAGCGTCGACGTAAAAGACTTCAAAAATGGGAAAGTCTTATTTTACGGGAAAACAGTTCTGAGATTTGACATTCCCATTGGTTGATTTTTCTTTGTTTTTGCTTTATTTTGGATCCATGCTATTGTTTGTGTTCAGTGCCAGTTAGTGCAAGTTAATGTTGCCATAATAGACTTTAAAAACCTCTGTAACCATACCCAGGATTGTTTCAGATTACCTTGAAATGTAGTCAGTTACTCAATTCAAATGACATATTCGATTAAAAAAATGTGTAAAACCACTCAACACATACATTTACCATGCCAGATTAATTTCTACAGGTGACTTACTGGAGGTGTGTGAACTTGGTTTTAAAACTATTTTAAAAGTACAAAAATCAGTCAAAGAGAAAACTTAATCAAGCATCGTTTATTATCACTGAACTTGCCTGTGACTTGCACAGTAATGGTTTTCAATATCACTCCAAACACTGTTTACATTAAAAAAATTATACTTCTTTAATAGTCTTTAAAAAAAAAAAAGCACTGTAAAAACACCATCAGCATAGTACATCTGTACAGCAGGCACACATTGTCTATATATTATACTTTATTAAAAAATTGATTTGCAAATCCCACAATGCAAAAATCCCATTTCAAGTTTGTATTTTTCTTTTATTTGTAAATTTTCAGTAGTAGATTGATAAGCCACAGAAAACAACACCAGGCTTAAAAAAATAAATGCATAAAGGAATTCCCTCAAAAAGCAATCTTTTTATTGAAATACAGTACCCACTTGAAGCCTCACATTCTACCATAGGTCACGTTTTCCATGGAAGACCTTGCATATCACAAGCACAATCGCTCAGGTCTCACTCTCTCTCTCACTCACACACGTTTTTTTTTTTTTTTAAGTGCACATCTCAGTTCTTCCTTCCACAGGTGTATTGTATCCTATCAAGCTCTTCTTTGAGGTTACATTTTAAACATATATGAGCAAATGAACACTTTCACACATGTAATTAAACCAGGAACCCTGTTAAGTCCATCTGATGGTCATACCAGACCTGTGCGTTAACTTACTTTACAGGAATTTTAACCTTCGTACCAAATTTTTCTTCCATGTCTAAAGAGATGGCAGAAAAAAATGTGATCACCTTTATTAAGGGGATGTGCACAAGCCACACACCTTTGCGTGCAGCACAAACGCACTGAAGGCCACTCTTAAGGGGAATGCAAAGAAGGACAGGAGTGCACTGGTTTGACCCTCCAACACCACTGCTGGAAGCTGAGTGTGGAAGGCTAAGTTGGCGAGTGGCAAAATGAAGGTGTAAGCCTGAGAGGTCCTATAAGGACTAACAGTGTGATGGTTTTAGCCCTTAATCTGGCTCAGTGCTATGTTGCCAGCCATTCCCCACTGGCAAGCGGCTCTTTGACATCAGAGTCCAGCACAGCCTGCAACTCCACCCCTGAGTCCTGCTCCTCATCCTCCCCGTCCTCATCCCCAATCAGTGCCTCCTCCACTCCTTTCCCTTGTCGCCCCCTCCTGTGACCACCCTGTCTCCTGGGCAAGCAGAGAAGGACCCTGAAGTCTACGTGGGCCATCATAACCTCCAATGTGTAGTAGAGGGACCAGAAGAGAGCAAAACAGCCAAGCAACAGCATGAACTGGAAGAGGAGGAGGACACAGGTTATAGAAACAAGGAATGTAAATCACCACAGGAAGAGTCAATCAGTGATTCAAAGGAAGGGAGCTGATAAAGAATGGAAAAGGAGAAGGAGCACACACACCTAAAGGTTAGCTGAAAGGTTAATTAATCAATACTTGATTTGTTTTATACCCTTTTGTCCAGGGGCTCACCGATTTTAGTTACCCTCTCACATGTCCACCATCCTACTGCTAAGTTAAGTTACGCACATCTTAACTAAATAAGAAAGATGAAGGCCTGAGGATATATTTAATCGCTGGAGACTTTATGATAAACACTTCCCTGATTGATGGTTAAAACCATGAAAGTTGTACAAGAAACATGTTAAAAAACAACAACAAACACACATCACCTCCCCAGGGAGAAAATGAACACAGTTTGCAAAGAACTCAAAAGACTGAAGCACACAGTGGGCAACAGCATGGTAACCATGACGCGGCTTGTCTGAGTGTGCAACGTAAACGCCGCGCTGTTTACCTTGAGGTTGTTGGACGTGAAGGGCTTGGTGATTTCTGGAGGCAGGTCCAGGCCTGGAGGGCAGGGCAGAGAGAAGTTGCTGTGCAGATACTTCCCAGTCATTGCCTCCTCCACCAGCCTGTCAATCGATGCACAGCCCATCAAACTCACAGAACGTCTTAATAAAATCACAGGTTCACTCCTAACATCTGCATTCAGGCTGGGTTTGAATTCATTTATTGCAAAAGTGTTACACCGACTGTGTATCGGTTCTTGCCTCTGTCTTTCCTTGACCTCGCTGAACATCATAGATGAACCATACAGAGTCAACTTCCTCTCCTTCAGCACTCCCACGGCGGCACACTGGACAGAAGATTCATCTTCTATAGAAAAAGTGGAGTGAGGAGGTCATGATGAAGAGTCAAACAAATAAAAAAAATGTAAAAACCCAAACAAGTCTAGCTGTAAGCAGGGCAGAAACTCACTGTGGTCAGAGATCTTGAGGGTGTAGAGGCCCTGGGCTCTCTCTCCCCAGCAGCGCACAGTGGAGAAAGTCCAGTCCTGGTAGCCTGCATTATCTCTATGAGCACAAAACACACACACAGCTACATTAGACTGCAGCACAAACTATTTTCAGTGCAATCTTGAAATACATTAGAAACATTAAACGTGAGTACGTTTTACGATTACCATTTTCCGTAAAGTGTTGTTTTACAAAGCTCAAAGACAGAAACTACCTGTCGATGGCACGGCGAGCCCCGATGACTGATGTCATACCGCTGGGGCAGATCAACACAAACTCCACGTTGCCACGGCAAGGGTGGATGACTGTCACGGTAACGGCCACATGCTCCAGGGTCTCCATTCCAGACTGTCTCAGGTCGGCAGCAGAGACTGATGGAGAGGAGACAGAGCGACTCACGCTGTTTGTATGTTTGACAGTTTGACCCTTTATTCTAACCTGGTAAACAATGAAGAGTATGTGAATATGCTTGAAATCATTCTGAATGCATGTTTAAGTTTCTATTTCAGGGCTCATTAGCTTCATTTTAAGTGCTGCTTCACAATACGGCGGTGATAAGAATTCAATTTTCTACTCGTCCTATTATTTACAAAACTTTATTTCAGTAAAACTTCTTTGCTGCCGTTATGACAAAGCAAATAACACTTCCTTTAAAAACAATTAGAGTTTAGCTAATGAATGAAATCACTCCTAATCTGGAGAGACTTTAAAACAGAGCAAATCAATAAAAAAACACTCAGTCACTTTCAGTCTTCCCTCAAACGTGAATCTGTTATCAGTGAGTCTTCCTGACCACCTCTTGCCCCCCCAGTGCGAGTGTCTGGTAATTTCTTGGCATTTCCTGGGCTCTGAGTGCTAATGGGCCATGGCTCCATCTGACCATGTAGGGCTGAACACATCCTCGGGGCAGGGAAGGACGCAGAGGGCCCAAGGAGAGAGGAGGAGACGTGTAAACAGAGGTGTGGACGGTAAGATGGAGAGGCATGGGACAGATGTAGAGAAAAAGGGAATGATCGGGAGGGGCAGCAAGGACAAGGAGACACGTGGAGACGAGGAAAGTAAGAAGGAAAAGAAAGCGGGAAATTAAATAAAGGACAAAGAAGAAGCTTGGAGAAAGGTTTTAAATGCTAGAAGCTCTGACAGCTCAGAGTTCAAATCAACTTCAGATTTTGGAAGACTTTCCATGAATGCACTGGTCTGGCAGTGGTTTTCACTGGAAATTTTAAAGAAACGTGATATGCATTCAATAAACAGGGTGCGGGGGTGAGTGTGTAATAAACTCCAGACAGCACACTGGTGACCTGTGCTCATAGCTCAAGAAGGGAAGACACATGAAGATAAAGATGCATCCTGGGATAAAAGACTGCATGCTTTTCTAAATAAGCACATGATGTTTGTTTTTTTTATATCTTTGTCATTGGGCTCATCATGAGCTTGAGGCCAAGCTAAATAAATTCAGTGTAGAGCTATAAAAATTATGTAAGATTGGATTGAAAAAAAAAGTTTCAACAAACTTTTGTCTGAGATGACAGGTTTGAGTATACCACACAAACCAACTCTGGTAAATGACTGCTCTGGGTTAGAATGTGATGGCGCAGCAGCTGTGAGCTTTTACCATCGTGTTTCTCTTTTACAACTAACTCGCTGGCGTTCCTTCACCTCGCAGCAACCTAAAACCTCTATTCTTCACAGGAACGTGAGACTGCGAGCTCCCACACATCCTCTCTCCCTCAGAAAAGTCAAACTCTAGTTGTCTGTAAACTAACGTCACCCACTCGCCCTGAGCTGGCCTGATGAAACCTGATGTGACTGGCCATGAACAGGTCAGGGCAAGTTGCAGTGTGCGCTTACAAGTGAGGAAAATGTTCACATGGGAAGAAGAAATTTTGAAAAGCTAAAGGGGACGTGTTAGTGAGTCAGCCAAAACACATAAAAACTACCACAACAAACCCTGAGTAGTGTGACGGGCAGGTCTGAACAGCGTCAGTGGTGAAGAAAAAAGAGCCCCAACCAATACTGACTGAAACGACACGTAAAGGAGAAAATGTGGAGTACAGCACCTCTTTAACTGTCAGCAGCTCTTTGTGCGCACACACACAGACGCACACACATCTGGCTGTATTCCTGAAATCAACAAGCCCATAAAAGAGGGA